AAAAATAAAAAAAATAATTTTTAACTGTTTTTTAATTTATTTACAAAAATTATTCTTTTTTTATTTTTTATTTTATTTTTATTATATTTACTAAACAAACACAGTATATAAACTATTTTAATTTTTATATCTCAAAAGACATATAAAAATATTTTTAAAAATAATCTGAAATTAATTTCAAACACACTCTAATTTTCTTGTTAACCGGTCAATCATGGTCATTAGTCATATCACTAATGGAGTCTCTATTTTATGGTCTTGTAATTAATGTGATTTTCATTTTTAGAGTCCGTTTGGTTCATAGATTAGAATTATGATATTAGAATTATTTTTGATTTACGTGTGTTTTTTGTGAGAGAAAATACTGTAGCGAACCATGAATTATGATTCAAATGAGAGATAGAATCCTCTAACTAAACGGGCTCTTAATACCCACACAGATGTAATGGGTACAGTAAATTATCAAATTTTTTTGGGCAATATTAACCTCTTAAATTTTGATTTTTTGCACTTTCAGTCACTAACAATAAAATTGACGATGGATATATGAAATTTATTTGTGTAACTGAGTCATTCTACTTTATTGTTCTTGTAATTGTTTGTTGGTGTCTTCTTTATTTGCCTTTGGGCGTCTTTTTGGTTTAATGATTAATTTCTCACCAGAAGAAAAAAAAAAAAAAAAAAAAAAAAAAAAAAAAAAAAAAAACTAAACTCACGATTTACTCTGATTTCCTCTTTTGATTCACATGAGAACTTTCCTTTTTTTTTTTTATAGGTTTTATGGTTGTGTGTTCTTCCATCTTTATTATCAAGAATTAATTTGGTTTAAGCCAAAAAAAATGAATGGATGAATTTGAAAAATGTTCAGATTTGAGCTTATCATTTAATAGGGTGTGATTGGACTTTCAATCTTTAAAGTAATTTGACTATGATGTAATTAGTATTTAAATTAGATTTGGTTGGGGCATACTTGTAATTTTTATAAATGAAAGGGGCATATATAATTTATTTCCCCAAACATTTACATAATACTAATATAATAAAGTGTGATAAAGAAAGGAAGTCACAATTTAAAGAATGTAATTTCCGTGACAAAATGTTTTGGGTAATACCGTCACCCCACTTAAGAACTTGTTGGGAAATTGAAATACCAAATGCAGAACCTTGAGAACTACATGTCTCATTGCCTGACCCATTTACTATTTATGTTGCCTTAGGTCTAATGTATATCAATTCACCACCTTAGGTCTTTTTATGTTGCCTACACGGCATTGTATCGATTCACAAATTTATCGTCATTTTTACATTTTTAATATTTAAAGTTTGAAAATATATCATTTAAATGTATAAGCTTTTCCATTCCAAAAAAAAAAAAAGATATATAAGCTTTTATATTTCTTTTTAAATTCACAAATTTATAAAAATTTATATAACTCAAACATTTGAAGTTCGTAAATTCTAATAAAAATGTATAAATTATTATATTCTGAACACAATATCGAGAAAGTCTCTCCTCACATCATAAAAGCTCCTCCATCTTTATATATACATGGAGGAGTTCATGGAACTTAAGAGATGTATAGCAATGATGATTTGAAAGGGAAACTCCAGTAAAAACAGTTTAAGTTTAATTAAACCGGTAAATATATGAATTGGTTTTAAAAAAGAAAAAGAAAGAAAAATAGTTCAGTTATTGTTTTGTTAAAAAAATTTAAATCAAGTATTTGATTTTTCTATGATCGTTATGAGTTGAATAGTGAATAGAAAATTCAAGATTGGACCACGTCCTATGCAATTAGCAACACGACCAATTCATATTAGTTGAAGGGAGTTCAAATACAAGTTGGCATCACGACTTAACAGAATTTGTATCGCACTAATTTTAAAATGGGTTGTTTATCCATATATAGTTCAATCTATGGACTGTTGTGAAACAATTATCTGTCCACATTACAAATAATCTTATAGTATAAACGGTTAAAGATGGCATTTGAACACTACAAATAATAATTGTAAATGAGAAAATTATTGTACAAATAACAGTTGCATAATATCTTACCATTCATTATAAATAGAGAGCTAAGTTATGCTTCAAAGTCTTTCTCTCTAGTTTCTCTCACTAAAATTTCTCTAATAATCTTACATCTCTCTTAATTTTATAACACGTTATCAACACAAATACGCTAATTTCGTTACAAGTATCTAACCTACACTAAATCAAATCAAGATGCAACCATGTAATCTCCCAAATCTGAAATGGAGGAGTTCATGGAACTTAAGAGATGGATAGCAATGATGATTTGAAAGGGAAACTCCAGTAAAAACAGTTTAAGTTTAATTAAACCGGTAAATATATGATCAATTGGTTTAAAAAAAGAAAGAGAAAGAAAAATAGTTCAGTTATTGTTTTGTTAAAAAAAATTTAAATCAAGTATTTGATTTTTCTATGATCGTTATGAGTTGAATAGTGAATAGAAAATTCAAGATTGGACCACGTCCTATGCAATTAGCAACACGACCAATTCATATTAGTTGAAGGGAGTTCAAATACAAGTTGGCATCACGACTTAACAGAATTTGTATCGCACTAATTTTAAAATGGGTTGTTTATCCATATATAGTTCAATCTATGGACTGTTGTGAAACAATTATCTGTCCACATTACAAATAATCTTATAGTATAAACGGTTAAAGATGGCATTTGAACACTACAAATAATAATTGTAAATGAGAAAATTATTGTACAAATAACAGTTGCATAATATCTTACCATTCATTATAAATAGAGAGCTAAGTTATGCTTTAAATCAGTCTTTCTCTCTAGTTTCTCTCACTAAAATTTCTCTAATAATCTTACATCTCTCTTAATTTTATAACACGTTATCAACATAAATGCGCTAATTTCGTTACAAGTATCTACCTACACTAAATCAAATCAAGATGCAACCATGTAATCTCCCAAATCTGATGTTTATTATCTACCCATAACACTAGGAAAATTACCTCATTGAAATGACACTCAGGAAAATGTGCCGTAAAAATAACATGAAATCCAACATATCAGATAATAGAGGGAGATTCACATTCAACATATATTCTCAACCTTCTTTAAGGGCCATCTTAGTGTGTTGTGATGGAGCAATCGATATATATACCGCACAACAAAAAAATTTAACATGAGAAATGTTAGATTCTTGACTAAATGCCAATTATAATGAGAGTACTTATGATGAGTACTTAATTTGATACGAATTGATACCGCACAATGTAAAATTACCATAAATATGTTGCAATTTTAAGCTAAATGTGTCAAAAGACTTTTTTTAATTACCATAACTTAATCTTTTTTATGACGTATTAAAAATGAATGAGGAAACAAAAAAGCAAAAGCAAATGAAGAACAAAAGTCATTATTCAAAACTTTTAGGTAGTGCTAAGGAAGTTAATAATAATAATAATTTTATCGACGTTGTGTAACTATAAGTTCTCATAAAGATAATAGAAGAAATATATATTGCTATTTGGACTATAGTTTTTTTTTTAAAAAAATTTTAATGGATAGTTGGACTATAGTTGTTGCAAGTGTAAATTAGTTATAATTTTTCGACCGACTACGTCATAGGTGTAGAGTTCAAATCTCCTACTCGTATTTTAGATTTTTTGTCAAGGAGTTTTTAGCAATTTCTATTAGCCAGTCATTGAAACAAACCATTTCGGTTTAAAAAATAGAAATCGACGCCAAATCAAGTTAGGTAAAAACCAAACACACTTTGAATTCAGTTAGGGCACAAATAAAAACTATATTATAAATTAAAAAATATAAAAATGTTCTTTAAAACTTCATACATTTTAAAAAGAGAAAAGTACATGTAAATATTATTTTTTTACCACCTTGAGTGATATTTTTAATTTTTATCTTTAAAAAAATAAAGTACAAATATAAACATTGATACGAATCTCTGAAATTTTGAAAAAAAAGGTTTGTCAAATTTTTAGGAAATTTTATCAATATAAGATTAGGTATCTCTATAGTATTAAATATTATGAATAATGAAGCTAATAAATTTTTGGGAAAGCAACGGAATTTTCAATATATAGAAGTAATAAGAAAAGAAAAAGAAAAATACGACATTGCAAAAGAAAAAAAAAATACAAGAGAGTTGTTGAATGCGGGGAGAAAATTGTTGAACTTATTTTTAAAGTGTATGAGTCTGAATTGTTACTTTTTATTCTTAATTAATATCTATTTAATTAAAAAAATATTAATTAAGAATAATGGATACAAATTTAAAATCATGCATTCTAAAAAATATTTATCTAATTTAAATAAGAAATTCAAAAGTTGAATTAAAATTGAAAACAGGTAAAGAGGCATTTTCTACAAGG